CATTAAAAGATTTGGAAGTCGAGTTCAAGAACTATTTTAGTGTGCTCCTAATGGGAACTCATAAGCCCAAAGACGAAGCCGATGGCACGTTTCCATTGGAATGGTTTGGCATGGAGTCCTTCAGAAGAGAAAATCAACCAGTTCGCTTTCAATTTTACTGCGTGGGCGCACAGAAAACAAAGCCCGCGAATGCAAATCCGTTTTACTTCTTTCGAACGATCAATGCCCAGGCTTTGATGCGTGATGTGAGAAACACTCTCAAGCAAGAACGTTGGATATCAAAGTATGAGATGATTGGGCCTATCAAGGGCAAACGTAACCCTAGCGCCCATGAGGAGGAAATGTATGTTCGACGTGCAGTTTATGATGCACTGATTGCTGAAACGAATAGAGAATCGAGTGTATTGCTTCCCTATTTACTGCATCTACACAGGCAATATGCAAAATATAATCCAAGATGTTAAGCCATTGTCTTGCATAAGTTGTCTTTGACTCAGGAATTTAGCACTATAAGGAAATACTGAATTATTTATTTACTCATAGGACTGTCTACCTATCTAAATTAATGTTGAACAATAAATACTATTTATTTATATTTTGTACAGAAAAGTCGCTCGTGAAGCTTTATTTTAGGCATAAATGAGCTGTGCGGGAATTATTTTTTCTTTTTATCAAGTAGAAAAGTGTTCAATCGAGAATTATATTGATATTCTGATTATAATATAAAAATATAATCAGTCTGAGACAAAGCTAATTGCAGCTTTATCTAGTTGAAACTAAAAGCTTTCTCGAAGAGCTTTTGGTTGTTTTGTGAAATTAATGATTAGTATTTGGCTGCCTGCGTATATATAGCGTCATCGGATCAGCTGCGAATAACAAAGCTAGAGAGAGAGTCAACACAATCGCGTCTAAATCAAGAAAAATAAATTATGAATGACGAAAAGGAAACAGAAAAAGAAAGAAGTAAGTTAGATTTCGCAAAAAGAAAAAAAAAATATATATATAAAAAATAAAATAATTAACTAAATAAAACTCCAATTGTGTACCACTTAAAGCTCTTCCCACGCAGACGTCGCCAGCAAAGGTATTGTTTATTGGAGATCCCGCAGAAAGCGTAAGTCCCAACAAGCCTGAACGAGGTGACATCAAGAGGAATTTCAAAGAGAACTGCACAAACTATTTGAGTTTAATTCTAATGGGAAATCCAACTCCAATGGAAGTTGCCAATGGCGAGTATCCCATAGAATGGGTTGGAATGGAAGTCATTAAAAGAGAAAATAAACCAACTCTTTATCAATTTATTTGTTTGAGCGCTCAAACAAAACCTAAGAATGTTAAACTAGAGAACTTTTATCAGACAATTAATGCAAATGCCATAATGCGTGATGTTAGACAATTCCTGAAGAAGGAACGTTGGATATCCAAGTTTGTGATAACCGGACCTCTCAGAGACAAAGGAATCGAATGGTTCTATAATTCCGATGAATCTTATCTTATGAATGCAGTATATAAGGCAGCTTGGGCCGAAAAGCTGAAGGGAAGCGATGTCATACTTCCTTATCTGCTCTATTTACACAGGCAGCATGTACAAAATAATCCAAGACGTTAAGCCATTAACATCTATATATTGTTTTTAGCTCAGGAACTTAGACAATACTTTAATTTAATAAGAAATCTTAATCAATTAAAAAATATTTTAAAAATAAACTCAGAATGTTAGTGGAAGTGAAAATTTCTTGTCTTTATTTTATGAATAATGTTTTTTTTTGTATTTTCTTTTCTGGATGATTTGTTGTAGCGCGTAGAAATAACATTTTTGTTCTTGTAACGTGCGTCCTAAAGCTATCTGTATTTGTGTATGTATGTGTGTGTGTATTAATGTATTATAAAGTTATAGAAATGTTCAACTCTCGCATAATTTGATATTGTTAATATCTGCTAAATTATAATACTGTTCACAACGCCAATTTGTTCAAGAAGTGAATAACTTTACATAGACTAAATGATTGCTCTAGACAATAAATATGGAATACATAGATTTATATTTATATGTATGTATATATAGAATTTATATTGCTGCTCCATAACAACTAACATAAACAGCTAATATCTTTGTTTAACTTTATTCTAAGCACATAATGATTTCAATTTGGAACAAATTTAAACAACGCTGGGCGTAAAATAGGCGCTAGTTGTAAATATTGTATATATAAACGTATATATGTGTATATATATACTATATATATGTATTTAAGTGTGGTTGTAAATGCTGTTTATGTGGTACTCGTAATTGTATGTACGTATTATCAACGCTAATTGCACTATTTAATAAATGTTCTAT